AAATGCTGCTTTTTCATCTCAAAAATAATTTTGACAGGATAACAAAACCACATTGTGCCTTTGTGCATTGTCAAGCCTTTTACCAAATATTGTGAAAGCGTTGTGGCTCTAACTGTAACAGTTTGTCACATTTAAGCTGAATAAACGTACTTTTTTTTAATAACAGCGTCAAAGCCAACCAGAATCTTAAGTAACACACTCAGAAATGTCACATGCTCCATGGACCTTCTCTTTTTCACAGCTACGCCAAGGTCATGATTTGAATTGTTTTGTGTGAGAAACATGGACATTTTTTGTAACATGTGAAACTAAAGCACTTGCATTCAACCACAGCCATGAGAATGGAACTTGATTACAAAGCTGTCATATACACTAAACGTCTAGTGTTATCATAAAGCTAAACAGACTCTTCAGACTCTTTTGTCATCAACCAGATACTGTTCTATCAGTGCTCCATATTATACCCAGTAAAAACCTTGACTGTAATAAATTAGGGTTTCATATGTTGCTTTTAAGGGCCTTTTGAGCTATGGTACTGTACATGTTTTCAATTTGTATTTGAGGAGGAACAACTATAATGTTGCTCTGCTGTATGTTCAGGCTTTTATACCAAAGTATAGCCAGCACTTAGTATCCAATAAAACTCTACAAATCACAGCTGTCATAGGCAACATGTTGGTACCATATGGAGGCACAAATCAGGAAAGAAAAGTTTGCTCAATGAAGATGGAAATAGGTGCACAGATAAAAGAGAGACAATAGAGATGGTTAGTGGATTTGGAAGCAAGTAAAAATGTCCTCATCTGTGTTCACAGATGTGAGGGACACTGCGTTGGTGGTGCTGCTGTCTGCAGAGTAAGGCGAGCTCTGTGTTTATGCAACTTGAACTGTTTATCGACAGTATAAAGTGGACTAAGTGTTTATAGCTGTGAGAACCTGAATTCTTTCCATGCTGCAAAGCCTCAATTTCTGTATCTCTCATTGCCTCTGTTTTGATCATACTTCACTGTGTTGCTCTGCTAGATACAGTTCTTCCACATTAGATGCTTGGTCATTTCATGCAGTATGTACTTCACAAAAATATACTGAAGTATAATGAGTGTGCCATTTACAGTATTCGTTTTTCTTGTTCTTTTCTTTGAAATCCTCTCTCTATTTGATTGCATTCCTCCTACCCTCAGTTCTGACCAGTCTCCCTGCCCCTGCTGCTGAGAAGTCTGTTTGTAGGATGATGCTGCCTCTAACATGCTTCACTATATGGATGGTATTGGTCAGGTGATGAGCAGCACCTGGTGTTAACTAGACATAATGCTTGGACTGCTTCATGGATAGTTCAAGTTTTGTGTAATTAGAGCAGACAGTGGTTTTTCCTCATGATCTCAGACCCTTTTTAATTCAATTTGGCAAACTCCATGTGGGGTTTCATATGCCTTTTACCTAGGAGTGGCCTCTGACTAGCCGATCTACTGGTCTAATCATCAGGTCTGATTGAGTGCTGCTGAGATGATCATCCTCCCAGCCCTGCAGAGAACTTCTGAAGCTCCCTTAGAATGACTGTCTGATTCCTGGTAACCTCCATGACGATAAGGATCATCTTGCCCAGTTACTCAGTTTGGCCACACTTCTTCCATTTCATAATTATTGTACCTTTGCTTTGATTTGATTTATGCCCTCCACAATTTGGAGGTCTGCATAGAGTACCGGACATGCAGTGTGAATTGCGCGACCTTATATAAACTGGTGTTTGCTGGACGTGTGCTCCAATCAAATTCTAGAAACATAAAGATAATTCAAGCAAATAGGATGTACCTGACCACAATGTGGAGTGCCACAGCAAAGGGTTTCAATACTGTTTTCAATGACAAATTTCAATTTTTGATTTCTAATAAACTGGCAAAAAATTCAAAAATGTGTTCACTTTGTGATTATGGGATATTGAATGCAAACCAGTGAGAAAAATGTGAAATGTATCAATTTAAACTGAAATCTACAACACAATAAAGTGTGCAAACAGTGAAGAGGTCTCAATAGCCTACTTTATGAAGCAACTGTTCGTGAGAAGTCTGTATACATTACTTTAAGTTTGGGACTGACAGCACAATATGCTATGCATATGGGAGAAAATAGCAAATGTGAGCAATGCTGATTACAAAAAGCTGTTCACTGGAGTAACTGGAGACACCCTCTCTCCTGTCTGTTTTTCTTAAGGCCAGTCTATTTATCTCACTCTGATTTCTCTCATAAGTCACTGCATCCATTCACTACGGTTGCTGAATGAGCCATTACTGAGGTGCAAAGTCATTTATTGGGTATGAAGTGGCTTCTTGCCTCCTGGCTTGGATTACAATAACCCCATTGAAGCTGTGCCACACTGCAATTGTATGTAGCATAGATTTGCCATTCTTCCCTGTTACTGATGCACACACAGGAACATGAACAGCCAGAAATTTGATGAAATCAACACATTTGTAGATTCATAAAGCATCAGTGAAATATTAAGCACCACTGGCCCGTTTCCCAGACAGACACTAGGCCTACTTCTAGACTAAAGTGTCAAATTAAACCGGACAGTTAATTCTTAATTAATCTACTTCTGGTTTAACACTATGGGAACATAAGACCAGGTTGTTTTGTGTCCTATCTCTGGTTTAGTTACAATGTGTGTTATGCAGAAAGTGCCACATCAAACCTGGGGTGTAAAACTAAGAAATTCAGTTTGTTGTGCAGCTCTTGAGTTTTTGTGGGGAAATCCTGCAGTTACTATATGACCAGTGAAGAATGTGAAGCATAATCCCACCGTAGTGCATTTATCATTTTATTTAGGTCCTAGAAAAAAATGCATACACAAAAAGGTGTTGGCAGAACAATAAGTTAAACATAAGAAGAATTGTGTCAAAGAAATCATTTAAAGACATATGCAAAAGCATGTGAGTGACATGTTACTATGTTAAAACAAATATATACAATACCAAAGACATGTGGCAGCAGTATAATTTTCACATAATTTACAACAGATGGTATCCCAGCAGCTACACAACACTGGTGATATATATAAAAAAAAATGAACGTGCACTGCAAAAATTTTCAAATTACAGAAGTAGTTATTTTAGAAACATTTTTTTAAAATTAAAGAATAAAATCATTTTTCTCCACCCAGTTTGTCACTATTCACAATAAGGAAAGACCAGTGGTCACATATCATCATAATGGCACGTTACTCTCTTCTTGCATCTCATTCCTTTTTCTTGCCAACTTTTGTTCAACCCCCTGTCTCAGAGGAAATGTAGAAGTATATTTCATTTACTTCACGAACCTGGCTGTGACTAGAAATTTGACCTTGTAGTAGGAAGGGAATACAACTATGCATACTTCCAACTTTTGCCTTTTCCCTCATCCAAAGAGGAACAGTAATGTATCTATGTAGTGGGTCCAAAAACTAAACAAAGTGAATATTGCTCCCACATGTTGAAGTCTGTGGGGTCTAAGAGCTTCTAACAGTTTTCTATGGCCGTATCTCCAATTTCAAATGTATGTGAACATTTTTAAAGCTGTCATGAAGGTCAGAGAGCACACTGGTGTCAAACTGGACTGTTTTTAAAAGAACTCTTCTCTCAGCCAGGTGCATGAGCCTCTAACAATCTTCTGTGCATCATGTCTGATCAAAATGTCATCACTGTATGCATTCACTGCATTAGACAAACTTACTTCATCATTAAAGTCTCATTTCTTGTAGTTTGAATATAAACTGAAGTTACTGTGATCACATCCGGGAGTGTTTTTTTAAACCAACTCTCACCAAGTTCTCCAGAGCTTTAAGGATGTCTCCCGCAGGGTTTTGTTTTCAGAAGGTGCTGCTTACATAGCTGCATATGGAGGCTTTTACTATATGTTATTATAGGTCCTCTTCATGATCTGCTTATAATGAAGTATTGATTGTTTCACATAACTGCAAAAAAGAACATAAAATGTGATAGAGATATTCCACAGTTTTGAAATGTACAAACTCCAAAAACTATGCCAGAAGTCTGCAAATCTCAGATTTAAATTACAAAAGCAAAACTCTGTCCACAACTGGAGTAGCTCTATGGAAGTTAAAAAAAAGACAGACACCATTAAATCTCTTAACCAAAACTTAAAGAATATATTAGAATACCTTAAACTTTGCCAAACTCAGACAATTTTGTATTGCTGCATGAGAAACTGTCATTATAGTAGCTAAATGCAAAAGGCGGAAAAACCACCAACCCCTCTGCACAGTTCATCACAGCAAACACAAATCAGCTCAAAAATCTCTTATGGTAAAGCACCACACACACACACACACACACACACACACACGCACACACACACACACACACACCCACACACACCCACACACACACACACACACACACGCACACACACGCACACACACGCACACACACGCACACACACACTAGTGTTCTGAAGTTAAGGCTTGAGTGAGGGTTGTCATTGTACATTAGATATTATTTTGGACATAAACTGATATGCTCACTGTTAGAAAAACAGATGCTAGTGTAACTTTTTTCAAACTACTTAAACTTGCCATTCAATTTTCTTCTGACTTTTACCGTCTTTGCATGTTTTCTTTACCATTTGTTATGTGTAAGTAAAGCACTGTTTTCTCAACAGGACCCTAAAAAGAGACTACGCAACTTGTAAATCTACAACAAATTTCTTCTCATAAAATCTGAAGTTAATTTTCCAAGCAAGAAAAAATAATCTACCAAACCCACCATTACTTTTGTTTTGTTGACTAAATCCATGCCAACCTTTCCCTGCTGTTAGTCACTGAGTCAGTATAAGGCTAACTACTAACAACCTGTGTACGCTTTAGCACACAGCTGCTGATGTTTCCTTTCCTCACCACTCCAGAACCCTTCACTGCTCAGACTCAGAGCCCAACAGAATCCTCTAATTTCCACTTGTCACCACAGAGGTTTACGTTACTGTTGTTCGCCAAAAGTCCATAGTCTCGCTTTAACTGGTTCTCTTGTATCTAGAATTTAATGCAAATACACTGAGGGATGAAGGCTGCCAGATGGGGACATACAGCGGGTTGGCACTTTAGGACATGCATCAGACCCAAGCCTTACTCTGTCAACATGTTTCAGTATTTTCAACATACATTTATCAAGTCTGTCAGTGTAGAAATTTTGATCTCAGATCACAAACATACAAATTTCATAACACTCTCCCAAAGGCAAAACTGATCCAAGATCGGCATTCTTGTTTGACAGAGCCTGATAAATGTAGGCTGAGATATAGTCTCATTCTCCCACATTTTGTTTTCCCAGTTATATTATAGTAAGGCCAGCTCCATCTCTGTCTCAAACTAGCTCCACCTTAGAGTTGGGGTACACCGCGACAACGTCATAGCCCTCTGGGGGCTGGACGCGTGCCTTGGCATGGGTCTCACAGTACAGATTATCCTCGAGGAAGAAGTAGCCTCTCTTCTTGAGGTTGATACCGCAGTCATCGCACATAAAGCACTCGGGGTGGTAGAGTTTGTCCCTGGCTTTCACGATGGTGCCGCTGGATGAAGGGAGACAGAGAGGGGCAGACTTGTGACACTGCTGCTTGGTGATCAAGAACAAACAGAGGACAAACTGAAAGTGAACGCAAAGTCTTCATGTCCCATGCTGTAGTTTACACAGCATGAGCCTCCTGAACAGAAGCTATTACACCGAGTGTGTTTATGTTGCTTGTTTGTGGCCCTAAGTCTCAACCATAAGTCCTTAAAGCACAGCTTGAGGATGCAGATCTTGTTTAGTATTTTCTTATTCTTGAGGCTTTAAGTGTAGTGTTTGGGGAAAACTAAACAAAAACAGCTGGTCATAGGGTTGTAGTACTGAGAAGAAAATGCCTTAAAAGGCTGATGGCGAACAGCATCATTGAAAAGCACACACTTTAAAAGTAATGATGAATTACCTGTCACAGCTGTTTAATGAATTTTCCATTACCTATGCAAAATGATCAATTATACTTTAGAGTGATTGTAACTAACCAAGCATTTGAAGATAGAAAGAAAGATATCTTATGATATTTGAGGGAAGTCTTCCAAGCAGATTAAATATGTTCATACTATCACATCTGGCAGCTGAACAGTACATGGTTATTCTTCTGGTTTGCTAATGATTAACACTAGTGCATTTCTTTTCTCAGTCACACAGTGATGACAGTTACTGTAATAAGGGCACTGGTCATTCACCGCTCCCAGCAAGATTTTCCTATCTGGACTGGGATTCAGGCCAGCGACCATTCAGTCCCAAGCCTGCCCCTTTTTAAAACTGCTTCCCCCATTTAACCACATGACTTGCTGGATAAACTTTTGACAGTGCTCTATATTTATTTGCAAAGCTGTAAAATGCTCCCAGGTCACAGCAGCCTTATTGTGGCCTGCAAGCTCCTACAATGCACTCTTGTTAAAGTAAGCCAATGACATCACTACCTAACTGCAGCTGCTTTTACAGAGAATAAGCCTAATCTTAAAGTTTAACATATGTTTATATATATGCACCTACATGCAGGTAAAAATGTAAATATGCACCATGTGTTTAATCATTACAATGATATAGTAAATGGGATTCGATTTTTTTGGCGTACTTGTGAAAGGCCTGTTGATGCAGGTTGATCTTCCTGAGTTAATCTCCGTTTCAGAGTCATGGAAAATCCTTGACTCGCATCACATTTTAAACTTTATGACCACGGGTGGAGTGATAAAAACAAGTGGGAGAAATTTCCTTTCCACATGGTAATTAATAGAGTTTTAACAGTTTAAATCATTAATGCTTTTTTCCAGTATCAAATCCACACCATAGACACATTCAGTTTTACACTGTGGCACCTGACACCATTACATACTTAATCAACGGGATGTTCTATGATGGTGTGTAGTTCAATTATTTACAAAAATAAATTCTGAAAAATACTTACACAATGCCATTATAGCAGCGTGTGCACTGGGGTAGTTTCTGAAGACCAGACAAGGGGCTGGAGATGGGGCTTCCCATTTTGGGGACTGGAGACCAGACTGGAGACTTTAGGTTTCTCATTCTCTCTGTTGGGGACACACCTAGGAAAAAAATTTGCCTGGAATAAATACTTGGAAACCGAACAAACCTTAAAATAAACATACTACATGCTCGGAGAATTCAAGAGGACATAATATCTTCTCTGTGGGCCTCTAGTAACCCATAGAAATCTTGGTTATATTATATACACACACACTTCACACCATAAGTATCTGGAGTGTTACACAGAGCCAGAAGAACAAGAAACACTGTATGTAACTGTCCAGATACTTATGGTCTGGACTGTATATATAAAAAGGGTTACTAGAGGGCCACAGAGAAGCAGTTGATATTACTGTATGTCAAGATTAGGTGTAAGTTAAGGTCAGGGTAAGGGTTAGAGGTGGGCAAATAGTAGTGTAAGTCTCCAGGAAATGAAGGTAAGTCAACATAAAATCCCCATGAGAAATCACAACAATTTTGTGCATGTTTGTCTAAGTTTCTCAGGCCAGGAAGTGCCAGTATTGTAATTAATAATAATAAAAAAAAACTGATTCATGAGTGTATATTTGTTTTTGTGCTCTGCAGGAAATTCCCCTTCGAGTTCCAGGTAGTAATTTTAAAACATGGCGGTTGTCAGGTCTGTAGCTGGTGATGGAAAGCTAAATGTTTCCCACGACAGCTTCAAAGGAAGCAGTTTCTGCCCTCGAGTGGCCTTTTTCTCCTTACGCAGCAGATGCTGGTTACCTGCTGGCACAGGTATGTGAGGAATTGTTACAAACTAAAGTAAACTAATTGGTGTACTTGATGAAAGAAAAACCACATGATACCATTATCTTACATGTCATTATTAGTCTTCTGCACTTTGTTGGCAGATTGCTTTTCCAGCATTTTTGGCACAATATGCACACTATGACAAATCAACCCATGCAGCTCATTAAGAAGAATACCTGGGGCACAACCTTCGCTGATCAGTCATTCATTCATTCGCCACTTGATTTGTCACAAAGCATGATTTATGTTGCCAGTTAATGTAAATGTTCGTGTCGTTTGCCACTGAATATAGTTCCAGTACCAGTGCATTTTTCATCTGCTTTCATTCTACCATCACATCTTAGTCACTGAAATTATTCCCCTTTTCCAAGTCTTAGACTCTCTTGACCTCTCCATGTCTCTCACACCTCCCTGTGTGCACCATTCATATGCTGTGTCAGAGTCTGGTGTGCCATTTCCTAGTACAAATTCACCATTCAAACTGGCTAGAAACGCAGCCAGGAAAACATCCCATGTTAGAATCCAACTTTAAACATCACACCTATATGCTACAATCACTCTGAATACGTCTGAATGAGGCGAGTTGACATGACATTCAACATTCATCTGACTGGAAAACCTTTTAACAAAGATACCTCTTGTTTAGCCAAAAGAAATGTGAGAAAGGTTCTGTAGCTATATGAGAAAAAACATTTACTAGAAGAGACCAACCCATTCGGCTACATCCACAGTAGCAGCAATGCTCAACTACTCTATAATGTAACAATTTCACACACGAGTGACTGAGGCATGGTGGGAGATGTGGGCTGCTGCCTTTCCAAAGGTAACATTTTCTTTTTTAGTTAAGAGCCCATGACATGTTTTTCCTTGTTTTTTTTTTACTTATCTACAATGTTACAATGGTGAATTATCATTTTAGACATGACCTAAAGCTCAAAAAATGTTGTTTAGAGTGTTACACATCTTGATTCATCGGTACATATACCGCTGTTTACCCATCTATGGAGGAGAAATTCACGGTTCGCTGTGCTGTCCACGTGCAAACAACACCGGCAGCAGGAGTCGTGCATGTTCATGAACTGTCCTCTCATTTTAAGGAAGACGCTTTCTGGCTCTCTGATTCTGAAACAATTACAAACTAATTGGAGTTATGAGGGGTTCCAAGCTAATCTAGAGGTACCCAAGATTAAACATTAAATGGCTGGAAACGAGAAAAATGTGCAGCCATGGGCAGTTCAAGAGCAATGAACTGCATCCACTGAGTGTTTAGTTATGCCTGACTGGAATTCAGGAACGGAGCATACTTATTAACACTGGATACCTCGAGCCCCTCCAGTGTTCCCAAGTGCACCAGGGCAGATGAGAGGGGCAGAGCCGTATATGACAACACTTCATTGATGATGTGGCAGGACAGGCTACGCGGGCCAATGGGCCACATATCAGTGTCACTAACCACAGTCCAATTACCTCACATCTAGCACCTGATTCCAAGCACTTACCATCTGTCAGTAAAGGTTTTGCTGCTCCATGTCGAGTTTAAGACCTGACATTAGTAAGATGTTATTTAGGATTACTGTCTGTTAATTTGTGATGCACACTAATGGAAAACCTTTTATGTGCAGTACTCTTGTGACTTACTCAGAGGGGAAAGTTGACTTTACAACACTGTAGACAAAAACTATAATGCACCAGTACTCATTTAGTTTAAGCAGCCAAATTACCTGGGTCCTCTATATTTTGTTGCCAAATGCAGACACACACCATATTTTATCTTACAGACAGTGACAAGTTGGCCAAGGTGTATCTCACCCCATGCAACATTCCCGGTACAATGTGTGTCCTTCACTGTAACTAATATCAACCAGACATGTTGTAAAGCAGCCACACACTCATTTTAGGCCCCATCTGACTAAAACCTGCCAAGAGCAGCGGGTGAAGCCTGAGGGAATTTAAGGAAAAGCGAATCTTAATATTGAAACAAAGACCACTATTGAGGGATACTGCTGTACCGACAACCTCTAAAAGTTTCTTTGATTTGTTCCTGCTTCTACAGTATGTACTCTGGGTCTGAATTTATTTAAGAGGGCAAAAGCATTTTATCAAGACAAATATTTCTTTGTTGCAGTTTGCACTGTTGAGACAACATTCTCATTCCCAGGGTATCAAATACTGTACATGACAAAACAGCAGTACTTTGTGTTTCATATTAACGCTAAAGGGTGTCTCTGGCATCCATGACAACAAGGACAGGCACAAACATGACTTTGTGCACTAGGAGCTAATGATGGACATCTGTTTTTTTTTTTTCCAAGCACTGTATAGAGTATTTGTATAAAGGAACAAGAAAGGAAAATCAAAATAATCTTTATGCAGCTTTAAAATGCTGACAAAAGCACCATTCCTCTGTGCCAATAAACAGTTGTAGGGTTAAGCTCTTGACCAGTAGAATCCCATTTGATCTCACTGGACCAGAAATTTGCGTGGGCTTTAAATCTTGTATGTTTTTAGCCCCGTCTTGGTCCCTGTGGAATAATTATCTGAATGGAATGCTCCCTCTCCTGTAGAGCCAGAATTAGTCTACACTGTTTAAAAGGGAACATGACTGGTGTGATGTTTATCCCCATCACTATTTGTCTGAGTTGGGGTCATGACTACAGACAATTCTGACTGCATTCAAGTTGGTTCATTGAGATAAATTTCTTTAACTTCTCATATAGTTTTGCAGCAAAGTCACCCAAAAGTAATAGATCTACTTTCCAAGTTTAGGAGGCAATCAGTAACCAAATGTTACATGCTGAAAGTAAAACGCTTCCTTCTCTGCACGGCAGTGGTGCTCACTATTTTACATACAGAGGCCTTATTCTGGTAACAAAGGCCATCATTCATCACTACTGACAAGCTATCTGCAAAACCCCAGCAGGCTGATGGCTACTCACCTTTCTGGAAACAGTACAAAATATAATAGCTTTTATAACTTTCTTTAAACAAATAACCACAGAGTTCGGGGTATGAGTGACATTCTGGAGAGGTCATTGGCACTGTGTTTATTTCTTTAACTGTTAAAAACAGACATCATGTTGTCGCCAGTCTGTCTGCCCCTTTAATTAATGATGATGATAAAATTTCTTCCCAAGCCTTCATATTCAAAAGAAAACATTTCTGCACTTCTTTAAAACATGGCGGTGGATGATATTGCTTTAAACACCAGAACTTAAGTCATACTACTCCTCTTCCAGCCACATCGTGAAGCCTGTGGAATTCTGGGTAAATTGACAATCTTGTTTGCTTTAACTTTCAAAGCCCCTGAAAGTCAGCATGACCTTGACGGGGGCTTAAAGGCAACTAACTGGTGATTTAAAGGTAGAACAGGTTCAAAAACAGGGAGATTTTACTTCAACTTGAGTGTCAGTTGTGTTCAGTTAATTTTTACTTTTCATAAAAAAAAAAATGTTTTTCAAGCTGAATAAAAAACAACAAAGGGACGGACTTCAGCTACACCTGCCCAAGGATTGCACTCTCACACAGATTAGATGACAGAGAAGGGCGGCTTTTAAAATGATCCCAAAGTACACCCGAGGTGTCCCTTTGTTTCATCGAGTACCTAACCTGTCAATCAATCTGAGTGACAGTTTCCCAGACTGAAAGAACACTGACAGCACACACAAAGCATTTCCTTTTAATCTGTCAACAGATCTACACTCTCTCCCTCCAACCCCCTTTAGCATGTCTTTAGTTTTCCCTTCCTCTTTGCTTTGAGTGTAATATTAAGAGCTAAACTGAGTTTGAAACAGTCTGGAAGAGCTCCAAGTCACACTGTCCATCATATAACAGCAGCTACTGGTGCCATTATTCTGGGCTTCAGAGTTATAGGGTTCTTTTTTCAATAATGGTTTAAACGTCTGTTTTATACGCTGTCACACAAAAGTAAATATCAGTGGCCTGTTTTACAAACAGACGAATGGTGCCAGCATCTCATAAAAAAAAAAGTGTGTCTCTTGTTAATCACAGATAGATTTATGAGTCCTACGGTCCTCTCCCATGATCATGCACTGGTTGCCAGTATGGCATTTCCTTCTGGTTAAACCTACCAGAGTTAAAAGAATTTATGGTTGCAAGTCGCAGTACGAATGTTGCAAATTTTGTGAAACAGGCCCCAGGTGGACAAGTTTAATTACAGGATTTTGTTTTGTTGCATGAAACTATTTAGTATTAGCCATGATTAGTTTCACTAACAAAAACATCTGTTCCAGTACTGGTACCCAAAATCCACATCAGTCAAACCACAGTTGTAAACTCTCAGCGGTTAGCTTCTCATATTTGAGAGAAAATTAAGAGTTCACATAGATAACTATAACATATTTCTAGCCTTTATTTATAAAACTGTGGGTAGATGCTGACTTTCATGTTGCAGAGTTATACATTCACAGCTGGTAACTCTCCACTCATAGTATTGAGGGTTAAACGACTTCAAGCCCTCGCAGACACGTCACTGCTGCAGAGGTTGAGAAAATAATCAGTGACTATCCAGGCTAACAGGTCAAAAACTCATTTCTCTAAGGTCTGTGCCATTTCTGCTTTAATATACCAACACTTGGTTTACAATGACTTCTTTCACTTTTGCTCTGCTTTAGTGATAAACAGGGAACCTTGAGATTATCCCAACACTCCTGCTATCAGCATCACATGACTCCTCCTCAAAAGCTGGAATGTCAAGGAGTCAAAAGGCAGACAGGAAAACGATATTTCTCACTTTATTGTCCTTTGTAAAGTTGTTTTTGCAGTAAACTGACTTACCAAAACTTCCCTCCCTCCCCCTTTATCTGTGCATGAGCTATTTAAAGCACTTCACCTTCCTCCTGCTCCCTCCATCCCTTGTTTTCACTCACTCAGACTTGCTTTCTCTTTCTCATCCTCTATAGCCCCTGTCCTCACTGTCTGTGTCTTCCTATAAAAGGAAAACTATGCCAGTTAAAAAGAGGAGCTCACAACAGTCAGAGAGAAGTTGCTTGAGCAAGATGTTCCTTTGGCTGAAGTCACAAGCCTTGTCTGTAGCAGGAAACGGTTACTCAGACGTTTCCAGAGCAGACGTACACAAACAGTGTGACTAAAAAGCCGCTCGTGAAAACTGCATAGATACACAGGCGTACCTATTTGATGGTTTTAGTCATTTTAACATGTTACATTCTGTTGACAGTGCGGCAGTCCGGCATATCAGTGTTAAATATATTTTTCCATTACATATTGCAGAAATAGTATCTATATCATTAGTCATTTACCTGTTCCTTTTTCCTGCAGCATAATGTGCATGAAATGTAGCTTAGAATGGAACTATATGCTTCTTTTTTTATCGTCATATTTTAAGCACACAAATACACCCAAAACCAGAAACCCCTACCTCCATCCCCAGCCTCCAGGATTCCCTGGAGGTATTTGAAGGAGCCAGACTGTTTGGGTTCAGACACAGGCTCCTCGTAATCCTGCAGCATCTTGTAGACATCTGACTGTGTGTCAAAACCATTATGGCCCAAGGGGGAGTGTATGGGAGGCTCAGGGCTGCAAAAGAAAAAACATAGTGTTATTGGAACGCAATATAAAAGAAGCTGAAGTAACCTAAACAAAAAGATAAATAAATAGAATTCTTTGTTTAAACAAATTAACTACAGCACATTTTGTTTTACTCAGACAGCAAAAATAGTCACACAGACGAACACAAAGGCGTATACATTACACTCTACATAAAGTCTTAATCACAGCCACTCTGGTGCTATGGTTCTGCACGTTCATCCATCCATCAAGTTATTCCCAAACCTAACAGGATGCACCATGCTCATTTGATATATTGAAACCTCTGGGAAATGGTTGCTGACAGATGTGTTCAAATCCTGACACACTTAACTGCGTGTCTGTCTCCAGACTCGCCTCCAGGAGTCTGAATGAAGCACTTCACTGCAGCCTGAGTGTGTGTTTGTGTACTGCTATGTGCAAGTGTCTGTGAGAGAAAGAAACAGGAAAATATGGTGAAACCATGAACTGAACCTGCAGAGAAAGTGAGTGACAGTGAACAATGAGCAGTTAGGATGGTGCTGGAAAGGATGTTCGCTGGGAGACTAATCACACATTTACTTGCCACTTGAGGGGATGACAACAAATGACTTCTCCTGTACATGTGGCCATCTGTGTGTCATGAGACCTCCAAAGTACACACAGTACTGTATGTGGTTCTCACAGTGACAGTTGGAAAATGTCAGGGTGGGATATTTTTCTTAAAGCTGATACCTCTCAACAGTCCCCAGTGTTTATAACCACTACATATATTGGGTTGTTTTAGGCTGTTAACCACATTTACAGATTTGGACAAAAAAAAAAACTGATTCATAAAACGTTAGTGTGTGAAGTTGTTTTGTTTTTAATAAGAGGATAGATGAAAACAGTTTACTTCATTTTGTATGAACAGCAAATTGTAGTTTGTAAATGTGATTTTTAGATTTTTTTTTTTGATTCAATTGGTATTGTTTATTTGATTTTGTTATGTTTCAGGCAAGGACGCAAATATGCAGACGCAACTCAAAACAGAGGTCGACAGGAATTTACTGCAACACCAAACAAGAAACAGGAACAAAATACAAGGCTCAACCTGACGTAGTAAAAAAATACAAAACAAGGTCAGGGAGCTGGGTACAAAAATGAAAACCAAACCAGTGAAATAAATCAAAGTACTGCTAGACAGCAATGACACAAATCAAAAGAAGTCAGGAACAAACAAGAGACGGGTACTGAACTTACAGGGCAGAGATTAGTGATGGCCATCTGACACCGAGGCTCTGATATAAGCTTCGAACTTGAAGAGGCATTTTCCGCAAACCACTGCTTTGAAGCCTGCTTTGATGCCGAAAAAGACATGTGACTGATGACGTCCGAAGCAGAAACTGCTTCGGTCCCCTGAGTGAATCCTGTGACTGGTTCAAACAGTCGATACTGCTTCATAACGCGAGACCTCGCTGTGCACGTCAGCAGGTTCCTAGGCGCGTAAAAGCACTATATAGCCACCAAAAATGACGCACAACATGTTGGTTTGTCGTCGTAGTAGGTGTGTGTGTGTAGTTGCTGTCGTTATTATTTCCATCTTGGAGCATTCACATAATGCAGTCATTATTTTGCTGTCTCCTATTTCACCACTAGATGTCACTGAACCAAACCTTTGAATGAATGAACCCATATTTGATACAATTGATGAAGTGGTTCAATACTGGTTCATTGCTTCATTTGGACATCTCTGCCAGAGATGCAGGAGTGGTGAGCTGAGAGAACAGAGACAACAGGGGCAACAAGGCACAAAGACAGAATGAACCAGCAAGAGACTGAAGGAAATGAAGGAGTATATATAGGCAGGTGACCAGAGGATAACAAGCAACAGGTGGAAGCATTGAATGGTGATTGTGAACCGGGCTAAAGCTAGGGCAGGTAAGATGACACAAGACAGGAAACTTACCAAAACAAAAGCACAAAACAAGAAGCAAGTCCACAAACCTTAACACATTTATAATAATGAGTATAAAAACAAATGCAGTTACAGATTTCTTAAGGGAGAGAGAACATCTACAAACAGCTGGGCATACAGTATGTATGGACTGATCTACTCATCCTGTAAAAACTATAGTTTATGTATTTTTGTTTTACTCGCTGTGCACATGCACAGCACACGGTTTGACCGTCTCACCTGTGTGTGGCACTGAGGCTGAGGCCCCCCATCTTGCTTGGCAGAGATCTGTCTCCATTGCTGCCGTTGTGAGCGTAAAGTCCCGCTGGATTGTTGTACTGACCCTGCCCGGTGCCGTTTCCGTATCCACAGCTGTGGATGTTGTTGGGTCTGGGGTGTCCGTTGTTCAGGGGACTGGGCTGGGGAGTCTGCGGGGACTGAGGTTCAGAGGTGTATGAAGGTTTACGACTGAAACCGCTGGTGATTGGACGGAAATTCTATAAAAGAAGAAAAAACAGGGACACATTTAAAAAGCAAAAATTTTTGGCCTATCTGCTTGTAACAATAGTGTTCCTTTAAACATAGAAGGGGATTTCAGATAATACTTCAGCAAATGCTTTTTTCTACAATACCAAGTATTTATATTTTTACATTCAAAAAACACATGTAATTAATCACCGACTAAATTATCATTGCACAAATTAGAAAACCTCTGATCTCTAACAAAACCTTGTATCGCCCAACCACCTTAGGAAAATACAGTTGGCTTGCTTATATTCATGGCTTTCACATAATAGATACTTCTCCATGTTAATTTCTTGTTTGAATTGTATATTAGATCATGAGATGGCATGGTTTTTAACTCACTCTGCCATCGTTGCAGGAACTGGTCGTTCTACCCCGTTCTACCACTACTTTCAACCAGCTGATACCATAACAATATTGTGGTGTCCACACTTAAGACAAACCACATTTGCCTAATATCCCCTTAATCTGAAGCAGCCATGGGGAAACATATACCCCAGTATTACACCAAATAGGTAAGCAGCTTTATATATAAACTTACAATACTTACTTTTTTGTGTTATTATTGTATTATCCACATACATCAATGCCATAAGTTTAAAACAGCCATCTATCTGTGTATCACCCAGCTGTAGGGCGGCAGCCATTCTGCAACAGCTATTCCTCTAAATCATTAACAAACAATGCAAATAATAAGGGTGATAGACTTTCCTTATCTCCTAAACTTACAAAAACAAAACTCGCTACTGTTGAAAAAAAAAACACACATGATTTTATATTCTTGTATATATTCTTAATTCCTTCCAAAATTTAACCTTTACTACTAGCTTTCAATCATTTATGCCATAATGCATCTCCCATAATGCTTTACTATAGTCAATAAAAGCACAGCATAGACTCTTCTTATTCAAGCAATACAGAGAAACAGAAATGCAGTGATGAAAATGAAAAGAGGCTGATGTTACAGAAAGGATTACTAATGTCAGGAGGAAAGGTCAAGGAAACAAGTCCAGACTAGAAAACCACAGTTCTGCAGGGTGAAGGTTTGAAAGAAAAGCTTTTCCACTTCATTTCTGTTTTGTTCTCTTTAATAGAAAGGCTTATTTAAAAGGAGCTTGCATTAACAGGAACAAATTGGCTTCTGTGGGGTAAATACTGAAAAACACATAGTGCTCTGCTGAAACAGTTGAGAAGAATCTGCTGGACTAATGCAGGACAGATGCGCAGACACCTACACTTGAACCACTGTGTGTTTATCCTGAGGTCAGTGGCCTTTTCATGCATTTGCACAAGCTCCACACAGTGACATCAGCGAGCCACTCAGTGTTTACCACTGCTATCAGCAAACTAGAGTGATAACACTCGCTCCCGGCTCAGCTCTCCCATCTCAGAGTCCGAACTTCACAGATAAAGTTTTATTGCATGGATAGCAATGATGTCACCGCCTCTGATAGTGTTTTGGTGCTTTGAATTTCTGAGGCAGCAGCAGGTTTGAATGATGAAAGAGGTCATAACTTTAGACTATAAACATTTCAACTGAAACAAAGTGACTTGTTTATAGGTTAAGCAATGCAGTAGGATGAGAGGTCAGACAGAGTCGGACTGTTGTAACTATGAGCCACTGGAGTGAGGGTGCATGCATATGAGTGTGTGAGTGTATAAGATTGTATGTTTGGGGCTGGTTTACAGTGCCTTAGCCACAGGAGGACAGGACCCCTGTCATTTTCAACAGATGGGTCTGCAGCATGTCATCCTATCCTCAGCCCTCGCCTGGACCACACACTCAAGCGCTGACACACACATACAGTACACACAGGTCTTCTGTAATCAGCACTTTTCAACATGCTGGAGACTTCTCCTCTTCAAAACAAGCTCACGTTTGAACTTGGAAAAGAGCTTTGTCATTGCCCTGCCTCCTGCATTTAATGCAAACTTTCCAGAAATTTAAAACCAATTCTTTGTACTCTTCCCAAAAACAGAAATAATAAAGATGAACCATGGAAGCCTGTGAACAAAATGCTAGCAGACCATTCATGGTTAAAGCAGGCAGGGGAGTCAGCGCTCAGTGTAGCTTCAACCCAGGAGCCAAACCCTGTTGGGCAGGATGTCGAAAACACCCAGTTCTCTGCGGCTCCCTCTCCGAGTAACCCAGACACTTTGAAGCCTGGTTCTCACCACATGGCCAAACCAGATACTATTCGTTATCTTCAGATCTATTTCCACAGATGATGTCCCTTGTGTGATTCTCTCAACTTCTACATTATGTGAAAGAAGCTGAATTTGCAAGAAATATAGTTTTGAGTGTGATGATTCTTAGGATGTTCAAATTTAAATATACAATAATGATCACTTGTCACTCCTCTCCACACTATGGGAGGAGTGCGAGGTGGGCTGGAAATGTGGCCCTGGTGTTGATTTACAAACAGTTTCTTTGGAAATGAGTCATCCACGTTCATGTTTATCTCACTGCTGGCTTTCCCACCTCACTGCTCAGAGCTCTCCTCCTCCATAAGAACATTTTCTTTCATTTATTAATCCATTTGATATGTTTTGCAGCTTGTTTTCTTTAAAGTGTCCTTTTGAACCCAGCTTTCTTTTGTTCCACTGCTCAATTCATCTTACGTCTTTCAGTTCCCTGAAAATGTGCCCAGAGCTGGAAAGCTGAAGCTCTGCGGAACAAATCACCATCCCGACACGTCTTTTTAATCTTAATGAAAATCCATTATTGATTTTTCATATTTAGAGAGGGAGTGAGTCTGCAGATAACAATCGGCGCAATAACCGTATCACTGTCAGGCAAGCTTTTTCATGCCTATGTAGGGAGAACAAAGGAAGCAAGCTGAGGAAACTCCCAGAGAGTGGATTATGTTAAGTGCTCCTGCAGTGGCAAGACAGTAAAGATATATTTATGACTTCAAATCTGTACAAGCATTACTGTACATGTGAAGGAGGATAGATACATGCCCCCGTCTATGGTGATATATTTAAAAGAGAAATAAAGAACTGGAATAAAAAGATTTTTCTCTTGTTTATTTGACTGGGGGGGAAAATTACCCTTAAGAAGAAATCAAGTTAATCTCATTTGTATAGCCAAATAAATGTAGTAGAGTTTAATGTGCCTACAAACTGTAACAGAGTAGAAATATAAAGTAACAGTCGGAGGTACAATATCCTCAAAAACAGGAAGAAATCAGTCCCCACCCCAATTCAGATGAATGAAGTCATCATTAACTGTCGTGCCCATGTTGGTATGCAGCCTTTAAAGATGTAAAAAATGGAGCTTTTTCCTGATTTGGGTTTTCTTTGTTGTCAGCATTGAGTGCATGTTCACTCCCCACAATTCCTTTTGTCTTTTCTTGCTCGTGACACTCTTCCCTCTCTGACCTTGCGTGTCTGCTGCACAGACACTTGTTTTGAGTGGATGGCACATTTATAAGACAGCACATCTGGTATTTGCCTTATAAACATGCCAGTTAACATTCAGGACTTGTAAGCACTCTCAGGTTGCTCTAAAGGTATGGTGGTTTGCCGTTTTATCACAAAAGCAAATGTATTCCAACAGTTTCTTTAAAAATCTACCACTTCAGGTCTGGACATAGGTTTAATTAATGGAGATTTGATGTTAAGGTGTCAGTCACGCTGATCTGTAGAATGTCTTATCGCCCCATTTCCAATGGCAACCTTATCTTGTTTTCCCAGTGCAGTGAAAACTGTTTAAAATTAATGTGAGCAGAAACTCAAAATAAAACTGTTGAAAACGCATCTGTGAGAATCACATGTTTGTGTTTAAGTGAGGGCCAAAACCTCAGCTTGCTTGCCTCACTGGAGACTGACACAAATTCATGGTAACACGTGTACACCATCCCCTTCTCTTCTGCCTCCTGCATGGTTTAATCCCCCTGGACCTTTAAAATTAAGCATTTCACACGGCACTCTGCACCACTGACCAAACACAAACCAGCCCTTTATGAGTCCCTGGGCCTGACCCTAGGCGCCTCAATAGGAGGAGAGACAGACAGGCAAAGAGACAAGCTGGCTGAGAGTGGGGTGCTCTCAGGAAGAGCCATGTAGTAGTGGAATGCAGAGTTCCAATGAAATGAGAATATCATGCATTTGATCAAGTTCCTCTATTAAATAAAGCTGTAAAGAACCTTTTACATCCATCATGAATTATCCAAGTCATCAATGGCTTGACTTCAGTTTGTTGTTGCCAACTATAACCAAACATAACAGTTTTAAATGTTCTGGCCACAGTAATTTAATTACAAGTGTGAGCAATTAAGGCAACAGACTTCCTAACTATACTAATGATGATGGGTAAGAGTTAAACACAAATGTGTCTCTCTCAAATAATGTACAGTATAGTGAAAGGTTTGAGTAACCACTTGATAAATCATTTAGGTAGCACGGTTCACTATCAAATCAAATCAAATCAAATTTTATTTGTATCGCGCCAAATCACAACAAAAGTCATCTCAGGACACTTTACAAAGTAAGGTCTAGACCTTATTGTTATCAATATTATTACATAGGGAAAACCCAACAAATCCCCCTTGAGCAAGCACTTGGCGACAGTGGGGAGGAAAAACTCCCTTTAACGGAAGAAACCTCCGACACCACCAAGAAACCACCTCTTTATGGAATAAATGTTAATCTAGTTTCTAGACAGAATGTAATTGGCTTGGTTCACTATTATTCTGTAAATGTAAAGATTCATCTTCGACTAATTAGGTTCATTGCCCTTGAACTCTGTTGTGCCTTAATAAAAGGCAAATGATTCTGAATGACAGATATTTGAAAGCATTCATAAAACTAATTTGTTTCATGCAGACATTATTTTCATCAGTTCCAAGCAGTGAGGGAACTATTGTCTGTAAGTCAAGTGAGGGCTCTGTCAGTTACTCTTAATGGTAACTGGGAGAATTCGCCTTCATTTGCCAGCTCCTGTGCTAAGAGTGAAAGCCTCGGTGACGTGTGATCCAGACCTCTCAGCTTCCGCATTGTGATGCCTTTCCACAGGACCATGGTGCTTGGCCACCATAGCCATCACTTTAATAACAGGGTAGCCAACATGGATGGTATTCTGATACTGCTTGCCAAAAAACACTGTTTGACTTTGACCAAGAGGCCGTTCCCACCTACTTGAAGCTGCCACTGTGCTTTAATGGAAGGAATTTGGAAAACCTGTAATGTCTGGTGGCATTGTTTTACTGGTGCTAAACTAACAGCGGAAAACCTAATATGAAGTCATTAGAGAGAACCCTTTACAACCCAGAGAGGCGTTGTCACACAAAAACTGTCTCTCGTCTTCTCAGAAAAAGGTTTGCATATAAGCTATTTGATGACTACAGTGCACTGTCCTTAAATAAAATCAACTTCAAAATCAACAGAATTTTGTTGAGATTATGTAGACGATGCATTTGTAAACTAGCAGTGCTGGGCCGTAACACGTTACCAGTAGTGAGTAACAAATGACAGTTTGTAGCTTTTAAGATCTTTCAGTGAAGAAAAAAAACAAAGTGTACATTAAATCAGAGCTGATAATAGTGAGGGGAGCTTCAGATGGCTACTGATTTGGTTGGTCATTAAGATGATTAAGTGCATTTCACTGAGCTTGATGTTCTCTTAACTCACTTGAACCCTTTTATTTTGCATGAAACCCGAAAGCTGTGGGAAGCATCTGATTATAACTCATTTGTCTTCTCGGAACTACATGGCCAAAATTTGGCTGTCAAAGCTATACATGCTGTTCTATACCTCATCATTATCTCACCCCGCCACCCGTCTTTATCAAATTATTTCTATTTTAGGAAGAAGACTATGACATCCAGTAGTCTGTGCACAGTCAGTACATAAACATAGGTCCTTGGAAACAAACTGCATAGTCCCACTGAATTCTCCAAACTGCCAAAAATAAGTCTTTGCAAAAACTGTCACACCAGCAGTTCTGAGTCCCGCACATACTTATGACCAAAACTGCACAATTTCCTCTGCCACGTTTATAAGAATCTCCCATGTTCCCCAGGTGAAAGAAAACACCTCATATTATGCATGTGTTGCTTCCTGCTCAGTAGCTAAGTCACACAAGTGCGAGTAAAATTTCCAGCTAAACCAGTTGGTCAGGATCAAAAAGAAACCATGAATAAAAATGGAAATGGTTAATACAGAGTGTCCCAAAGAAAGCTCCACTGGCTTCGTAGCTATTCAGGCACTCTAGTGGTAGCACATCTGCAGCAACAACAACAACAAATGTTCTGCCTTCTGATTTCCCATTAGCAGTAGTTAGTTAACTGCATTACAAAATCACCAGTGAATGCCTGTGTAGGCCAGAAGGACGCGGTCAAGACATTGCTTTGTTTACACATAAGCTCAGGTGTCCAGTCCTGCCCCTTTGGTTTCAGTTCTCAAACTGCTAGTCAAACTGCACTGCGTCAGCCTGAGTGCCATAGTGACAGGTCAGTTGCTTCAGAGCTTTGGCACAATCAGAAACTATGTTGTCATTCTTATTCAGTGATTTGATACAATTAATGTTTCCTCATGCTGTCTGAACCGGTGCATTTTTGAATGAACTGAACTGTATCACACAGTTCATTTTGGATTTGGTTCAGTTGGTGTGAGAGAGGCTCTGGTGCATATACTGTTTCCAGTGTGTCTGAGGAACAATCACCATTGTTGTGTCAGCATAAACCTTGGAGCCATATCTGGGCCCAGCAGGAAACAGAAAGAGTGAACCTTAGTCTTCTATGTGACCCCAGGGAGCGGATGTTTGCTCTTTCCACACCTGAGAGCAACACCAAAATGATCCTGACTTCACAGGTTCACTTTATTAAATAAGATGCCAGCAAAAATTGCTAGATGTCAGTGAGAAAGTGAGGAACAATTTGATAAGATGTTACTGTAAAGTCTTCACTGTTTAGTGACTGACAACATATTCAGCTGCATGGTAGAAATGAGAGCAGCTACTGAACCGAATGAGCTGTCAGGATGTGCACTCCAGTAGTGGATCGCTTAGAACCACTGATCTGACGCCACATCCGTGCAAAGTAATTACACCTAGGTGCACAAAACAACACACAAAAGCAGCTCATGACCCACAATATTTGTTGCTTTTGGGGGAAATTATACCTCATATCAGCCCTCTATTTTCTGCTCATCACTTCCACACTCAACCATCCATGTACTACTGTAATTCAGTTTATGGTGGAACATTTCACAGTGCAGACTTTTATGGACAGCCATGGATTATGATTTCTTTTTTTTGGTCTGATTCTTATTTATGTATACAGTACATTGTAGGTCACATGAAAAGCCTGTAGTGAAGGCTGACATATAAAGCTGCTGATAAGAGTTTGGACCTTGTGAGCACAAGCAATCCAGATTAATTACATACTCTAGAGCTCCCTTCACACTTGCCTCTGCTACTGAAAACAATCCTTTCCAGGAAGGTGTCAAATTTCCACCGATGAGTGGACAGAATTCACTTCAGCTCTTTGTGCATCTCTATTCATTCAAGGAAACACTGCCTCAGTGAGGACAGGCACACATAAGTCCTGACTCTACTTGACAAATGGACATCTCTTACATGCATATACCATAATATGCTCATTGTCTCGCATTTCATTCAGTCACAGTCTCCACACTTTGTGCTCAAACCTGCTGGCCTGCCAGTACTGGAAAACTTGGAGAAGGTCATCAGCCAGAATTCATCATGCCTCAAATATGTTTGGCAGCTCGTATGACTGGAGAACAATCAAGATACTATTTCAAAACCATTCAAGTCAACAGTGAGATGCATTATCTCATTTATAATGATGTGAATGATGGTGTACAGGCAAGTTATAGATTGGATGTTGTGCCTGTTTCCATGGATTCTGTTTATGGCATAAACAGACTGAGAGGACTCGGGTCTCACGCCCAGCGGACTGTACTTTTAAGTTATGGCCCCAGATGTGAATTTGCCTCTCTTTTGGCTGATGTGGCAGTTAGTGAAGGACCCTAATCCAAAGCAGTAGACTCCAGAGTACAAGGTCCCAGTTTAAATTGACTTTAACATAAATCACACCAGAAAAATGTGTTGCTGAGTCTTTGTCGGCAGTTGCCTGTACTGTAAATGTCCCATTCATTTCCCCCTTAATCAGTGTTGCTTGACTCACAGTTGGAGCACTTCTGTGGCTTAGATGGATATGAGACTCCCCCTTTGGAGCCAAAAAAGGTTCTGTTAGAAAATATAAGATATATTTATATTTGATAAAAAGGCAACAAGGTACAAGTCAAAACTTTGATATATGGGACTTACTTGTCAACACTAAGTCAAAGACAAACAATCACGGCTGGGAGCCCCTTTCTATCATTTGTGTTGAGAGTAATTTTGAAAGTATTTTTCAACCTAAGCCTGACCGTGATCCAAGCAGTGAAATTCTGCGTTGGCAGCAAGAGACATTCAGGCAGATCAGTCAGGAGAGCATCCCAGTGGATGCAGATTTAAATCTGAAGACCTGTGGTTCAGTAAATCCAGAGAACACAGCAGTTACCTGTGAGTCAGGCTCCGTGTAAGGGCTTGTCTTGCCATCTTCACTAACAGTTGGCGACCACACTCTGTCTCCTGATCCTGACCTGAAAGACAATATCCATGAGAGAAAGAGAGAGTCTCAGATAAATCATCTAACACCCGAGTGTTGACACATGCAGTCATTTCTGCTGAGAAGAATGATTTTTTTCTTTCCACAGATGATCCTGTGTATGGAGTGTAATTATTTCTGAGTGTGAATGTTTGAAAAGAAACTGAAAAGAGTAAAAGTAAAGGCTCTATTTACTCTAATCCTCTTAGAATTACTGTAAGCTGGGAAAGATGACAACTTTAGCATCACATGATATCCCATAGTTGAGTATTAGCGGTACGAGTCCCCTCTGTGTGCCAAAACACCCACAAAGCTGCAGTTAGCAAACCATTTACTGTACTGGTGGCTTCGTATGACTGAGTGTGTGTGTGTATGTGTGTGGATTTGTGCATTTGGTAGATTTGCACATTAGAAATGGGATAAAGCTACTTCACGGCCTCTTCCTCCTGATACAAAAATAAAGTCATTATCACGTCATAACTCCACTGTATCCAGCCTTTGGAAGAACACTTTGCATTCCCTGCAATGGATTTTTCAAAGTAGTGATAACCGAATTACTGGTATCAGGCTTTCTTCCTCCTGTTCAGATTACCAGTAATTGGCTCCAGTTGCATAAACCTACAAAAAAAGAGCATGACTTACTGACTGGCAGCAATGATAGAATACATCATTTACAGCAATGCTGAACAGGCCTACTGTGCATGCATCAGCAGGGGTCCACATAATTTATGTCCTTCTTTAAAAGGGAGAGAATTACATGGTTTAGTGAAGCCAATGCTGTGCAACTTGTTCCTGCCGAGTGGGATCCACCCCAGCAGTATCACTTGCAGTTCACATCTTTTCTATTCCAGTTTCAAATTGAAGTGGAGGCAGTTTTCAGGGCAAATCGGAGGGGAATTCTTTGGTCCATTGGGTTTTTGTTGCCATGGTGTGGGAGGCTAAGATGGAAAGCACCCAGCTGCCTGAAGGGAAACACCTAGACATCAAACTGGGTCACTACAGGACAGTGTGTCTTTGTGCGTGATTCTCCTCACCAAGCCACCCTACATCCATTCACACCTCCATCCAGAGACAAAAACTATTAACTGTAAGTGTGTGTCCGTGTGTAGCTTTGTCAGCCCCACACAGGGAATAGCTGATGTCTGAAGGGGTGAGGTCATTCGGCTGCTGGTGTTGGTTGAGCTGAGGCAATAATTGAGATATGAACTATGGAAGTGTTGCTATCAAGGACGCTCTTATGAGGCACCGAGTGTCTGCAACAGCTACTGCGTAGGATGACCCTTCAGACTGTTTGGTTTCGATGGTTACCATACAAACAGCCTATTGAAAAGAGTGAAAGTTCAGTCTGAAGTGGCCTGTGTGAACTGACATTTCAAAAGTGCAAGAGAGAAAAATGAAATTTTTTTTTTACATCCATCCCTAATAATGGAGTCAGTGCCTGAGTGGAAACTGTGACCAGTGTGTGATTTCCAGCTTTACACTGTTGCTCTCATTACACTGAGGGTCAGTCTGAAGAGAGATGGCAGTCACATACTTGAAATCTTAAATATTATTCCTTTTCAAAAATAACTGCTAGCAGTGTTGGCTGTTATCTGACTTATTCCGTTTCATGCTCACAACTGCAAGTAATCTAAGAAATCAAATATTCAGCAGTGGACATAATTGAATTTTCTGCCAGAATTCAAACCATTCTGGAGTCTCTCAGATGTAACGCAACATAGATGACCACAGCTCAGCAGATAGAAACAATCCGCTGCGCACAAGTTTGACTGGGGACAGTGAACTGTGTTATTTATTTATCTATTTTGTGTTGGACTTCAGCATGTCCTCCTGTGTTTGGGCAGTGTGTGATGGATTACCCAGGACCATCTGGGAAGGATCAGGATCCTACATCACATGAGCTGCTGCTGCTACACATGCCTTCTCTCCTGTTTCACTTCTCTCTTTCTTTTATCTGCCTGATAAAATGAAAAATTTAGTTTGGAAAAATCTTTTCAAATCTTAAATATTAGCTAGACTGCAATCTGCAACGCTATAGGAAACAATATGTTTTCTATTAAAATCGAGTTGCAGACCTAGGGGCTTTATCTCGTCTTACTTCCACCTCCTCTGACTAATGCCAGAGCATACTCTGAAAAAACTGATCATTACAACAGCACTGGTCACTGTTTCTTATTATAAAGTAGATTTACAATAATAACTAGAATTACAACTTCACGGTTGTTTGCCTTCACCAACACGTCAAACTCACAGACATGAGACAGATGTGAGTTCACTGACCTTGACCTCTGACCACCAAAATCTAGTTCGTCTTAAGTCCAAACGGAAACTTGGACAGAAATTTGAAGAAATTCCCTCAAGGCGTTCCTGACACATTGCATTTGCAAAAATGGGCTGGACGGAAGGACAAACGAACAGAGAAGTCAAACACCTCCGGCCGTGGCCATTGCTGGCTCAGAGGCATTAAAAGGACAGGGGTGAATAGTCTGAACTACTGATTGACTGACAGAAGTACAAACATCCAGTACATTTACTCAAATACTGTACATAAGTACAATTTTGAGGCATCTGTACTTGAGTATTTTCATTACTTGATGCTTTGACTTCACTATATTTTAGAGGCAATTATTGTACTTTTTATTCCACTATATTTATTGCATAACCTTTATTACTAGTTACAAAATCTAGTTAGAAATCAGTACAGAAACAAAGCAAGCCACAAGGTCATCTCATCAACCTTCCAGCTCTTTCCTTTGGTCACATTTTCCCTTGCCTGACCTCTTGGTGTCGGGCTTAATTTCCTGATTGAGGAGTGGAGCAGTGGATGAGTTTACTTTGGCTGCACAGGATCATCTTGTTCAAGGAGTAGCATGACATGGCAGGGTTTGAATCTTTGCCTTAGTCAAAAAGCCCTCAGGAACAAGGACAGTGGTCAGGTCTGTCATACATCAGACAACATGAGAGATGCTCCTATGTTATTTTGTAATGTGAGAATGCTTTCTTCCCAGGGGAAGGTTTCGTCAGCAGATATGAGGGGTTCACTTGGAACAATTTTCATCTGAGTGATGACAAGATCAACGCAAGATGGAAAAAAGGAGGGAGGACCCCCAGAAATTCTGCAACACAACCGCTTAAACTCCACTGATGACCCTGATGCCGCCTTTATAACAACCACAACAAAGAAACCCTGGGAGAGCATCAGAGAAATGATGAAAGGATGAAGCAGGATGAAGCAGGAGAAAGCAGCGGTACTGGAGGTGGAGGGGATGCGAGTTGGTTCCTTTGGAGGAATCTTTCTGTCTTCGTCCCAGCTGGAGTCCTGCGTTCCTTTGGGTCCAAGCAGCCTCATGCATAATTCCTCTGCTGTGAGTCACAGGTCCTGGAGTCAGAGTGGGACAGCAGGGGCAAATCTTTCTCCCATTCTTCCTGAATCTTCCATGTGTTTAATTTTGATTTCTCTCTCCAGATCATGATCAGATTTGTAGTCCTCCCTCAAAAGGACTCAGATATGCTCTGAACTTCTGATCCTAGGCTTACCTCTTACTAATGTGTCTAACCTAAACCGTTACTTACTGTGCACCCAAAAGTTGATTCAAATCATAACCTTGTTTTTGTGAAGACATTCTTAACACTTCTGCTTTCACAATTTTAACATTAGTATTCTCCTCAGTACCACTGTCATCTACATTTCTGATGTGAAGATACTGTCACAAGTCAAAGGTCCACTTACAGCTTTCTCTGAGATTTAATCAGTCCATGGATAAAAAACAATGAGTCCTATCTTTGACCTGAGGCAGGGACTCACTATCTCACTCAACCATTTATCAGCTAACTCATGTTTTACACTTACAGTACAGTATGTAGCCGAAGGTTAAAACAATCAGCCAGTTTTCAGTCAGTAAAAGTTTTTTTTTTTTAAGGATACGTACAAGAACAAGACTCACAGTCAGAGTAACACACACAGCTCAAGCATCGTGACTCGTCTTTCAGCCGCCCCAGCAGGACTCTTTCCGAACAGCTTGACCAGCGGTTGAAACAAGCATCCCAACCGCCTTCATCTGTTCCACGGGCCAATGCAACCACATGACTTTCTCCAAGAAGCTCTGGCAGACAGAAGGAAACTGCAGGGAGGTAAGATCAGGGTGGAAGAGATGGAAGAGCAAAAGATGAAGAGGAGATATAAAAATAGTAGATGAGTGAAGCGGGATTTAGGTTTGGAGAGGAAATCGAATCAACGGCAGAAGGAGGTCAGGGATGTGGGGAGGTCTGGGAGGAAAACTGGTTAAGAAAAAGAAGGAGGAAGCAAAAATGGATGAGACAGGAGAAAGTTTCCTCCACAGCTGGTTCATGTATTCACAGACTCTGTTTAGGTCTGAAGATATACAGGCTGAGCAAAGCAGACATGACACACTTCAGTTTGGGCCCAGTGTGTCTGTCCAGGTCCGCTGACATTACAGTGAACTTGTGTGTGTGTGTGTGTGAGTGTGTGTGTGGATGGGGTAGCAGCCATCATCCCTCCCCTGCCAGAAGAAACAGCTCCATTTGATCACAGATGCCGGGAACTAACAAAAGTTAGCAAGGGTGTTTCACCTCAGAGCGGAGCGTTGACAGGCCTGCATCAGCAGGGAGGCCTGGTGGAGAAAGAAAAGCTTGGCTGAAGCTGTGACCTCACAGCACCTTCTTCTGTCTTTGTTCTTCTCTTGCTTTCTTTGTTTAAATTTTCTTTTTCATCCCTTCCTCTTTTTTATTATCAGTTCAATCTCCTCCTTTATTCTCTCATCTTTTCTCCTCACTACTTGGACAAACATAAAACCATAAATCTACCCAGGAACTCTAATGTACAGTCTATTTCTGTGTCTACTGTCTTATTCGCTGGTAAAAATGACAAAAGTCTGAATAAATGAGTCTAGAAACATAATGAAGGAGGATGCTTCCAGGACACACAGGCTCACTAAATGAACTACATGAGGGAATGTCTTCTGGAGGAATGGTGTT